TTGCTGTGCTACAGTCAGCAAAAATGCATATTGTCGAGAGACTGTCTGTGTGTGTGTGTGTGTTCAGAAGCAAGTGAATTTTGTCACCCACTTTCGTCTCAGCAACCAGGAAAGCTGGGAGACTGAAACTTTGGTTATATGTTCCTACCCCATGTATCATCCTCCCGCTTCAAGATTTTCCCCCACATGAACCTAGACCCTGCCTACGGACCCCCCAAAAAAATGTATTGGCGGGAAACGATTTCGCGAACCAGGCAAGGTAGAAAGCTGAAACTTTGCAGGAATATTATTTATGCACGTGTGAGCTGAAGATTTTAAACTCAGCTGTCGAGCACCACAACCACAGCCTCAAGCAGCTCCTCAACCCAGAAATCGTTAAAAAATCCATCGCAACCCGAACCCCAATAGTATATGTAAATGAACACTAGTCAATTTGCATACATGGATTTTTTTACAGACGACCGCTCGAGCGATACTTCCACGTTTTAGTAAACTGGAAATTTGCATTTTTTCAAAAAACTTGCATTTGTCATTTCTTCACAAAGAGAGCATTTACCGAAAAACGACCGGACTTCATGCAGAAAACCGGTAATCATGCAACTGGATGTCCGTGCGGCTCTATAACGCACCACCTTCATCCCAACTGACCCCTTCCTCCTGGATGCCGAAAAAAATCAAAGCACAGCCAATATGAGCCCAAGTGTTAGGCTACAGCGTAGGGATCATTCCTGCTAATAGCGATCTGCAAGTTTAGTGCAAAAACGCATGATCGCACCGGAGAGCCTGGTGCGTTCCAGCCTGAGTTGCTTATTATTTAAGCGATGTTAAAATAAGCAGCAGCAAATCCGCACATACGGCTGGTCGAATCACCTTTACCAGAAACGGAATATAGCACATTCGTTTTAGAATTTTAGTCACTAATGTAGAAATCGCTTGTACTGTTGTTACAGGAAAAATGAAGACGATTCTTCGCTGGAAAAATCGAGCGAACTGAAGCGCTTGCAGGTATTCCTTCGGTTCTACTATATCGCAAGTTTGTTGTGAAGTTGGGATGGAGTAGCACTGGTTCTGATTATATCCTGGTTTAATATCAGTAGAAATTTTTGGGAAGATTGGTACTGAGATCGAGATGTTGGTGATGTTGCTGGAATACACTGACATGTCGAACTCAGCTGTTTTTATATGCCTTCCAGTTCGTACTCATAACTTGTTCGGTGTTTGTTCGCATACTCATCAATGGTCACTTAATTTTTATTGCTGCGTCTTTACTCCACCACCGTTTACTTGGTCAGCGGTCATGTTTTGCATATATAAGTAACTGTGCCTTAGTAGCATTACTAACATGGGATGCTGGCACTGATGCCCATTCGCTCTTGACACACTCTTGGTTAAAAATTTCATTGTAAGAAGAAATGATGAAAAGAAAAAGCGGAAACTTGCGTAAAAGTAGTATTGAAGTAGTTAGAGGATTGCAGGAGCGCAAAATTTAATTAAAGGAGGGGCCAAATGAAGAAAAAAAGATGTCGGGCTTGCAGATTTTCTTTATGCACCCTAGTGGTTCCACTTCAAGTGACACCAAATCTGTGGATTGAGGAACTCTAACTTTAGCCTTAAAATGCCAAAAATTAGCTTTCTTACATGTCATCTTCAGCTTTTTTTATGTGTTTTTTTTCTTTTGCATCGTTATGCAAGTTCAAAAGCGCATACGATCGAGAGGTTGTCCACGCGTGTGTGTATGTATTTTCAGACTTTGTCCGGCAAATTCCAATCAGCAACTGTAGAAGCTAGAAAGCTGCAGTTTCACAAGGATATTCCTAGCCCACGTGCGATCCAAACAGTTTAAATAGCGTTCACGTACATGCAAGTTTTTTAGAGGGAAGACGGTTTCGAGAGCTACAGCAGATAGGAAACTGAAATTTCACAATGTCCTATGTCCTTGTGTAACTTAAAAATTCCAAATTTAACTTCAATACACGCCTACGTCACTTGAACGGATACACGAAAATTAAGATTTCGTTGTCGCTGGCGGAACGGCATTTCAAGAACTAAGCTGATTAGAACTTTTTCACTTTAAGAGATTATTTGTCTTCCATAAGAGGACACGCGGGGCGCAAAATGAGCTTTGGCATACGCCTGTATCGCTTGTCTGGACACACCAAGGTACGTGTAACGATAAGCGATTTCGCAATGGTCAAGCTAGCAAGCTGCAGCTTTACGAAGATAAGCTGTTGTGCTACCCAAATATTTCAAATTCAGCTGTAAAACATTCCCACGCCTCGTCTACGTGCAAGTGAATATTTGTTCGGGACACTGTTGGCACCTAGTTAACTCGGTTACCAGACTGAGCAGGAGGAAGTACTTTCCTGAGTATATTTGTTGTTAACGTACGGGCCACCAAGCGTAAGGTGAGCCTTGCGTACAGGCGCATCAAATTTTCAAATTGCAGCATCGTAGTCATTACCCAACTGATCCCTCTGCAGAATGGGATCATGCAAAAACACATGATCGCCAGGGAAGCCTGATGCATCGCAGCAGCCGTTATCGTTACGTCTCATCTCGCCACTGGTGCAACTGCAGTCTTCATACCCTTCTTTTTTGAGTCGGGAGTTCTTCAACCTTGTGCCCGAGGTATCTGTCTTCCCATGTTTCTCGAAAAAAAAAATGGCCAACGCATGGGCTGCCCGTGCGAAGATGCGTTTTTTGCAGAGTTCCCCGCAAGTTTTTGTCGATACCGGCATCGGTTTTTCGGCAGATGCTTCTAGC